GGGGGGGGGGGAGAGACCTTGAATTTTGAAGAATTTAAAAGTCATTAAAAGACACCACAGAAGTCGGGAAAGCTAATTTCCCGCCACCTAGGAATCAAAATTCCCCCCACCCTTTCTTTTTGGGATTTATCGATTCATGGAAAAACTACGTATTTTCCCGGGGGAGAACCCCCGGACCACCCTTTCTTTTTTACTCAATCTTTTTCATGTATGTATACACACATAAGGCCTATTTACTGTAATAACAATGGGAAAAAATTATCTGACCGTTTTCAAGAGTGGAAAACCTTGAATTTTGAAGAACTTATTACTTTTAAGTTCTTCAAAATTCAAGGTGTTCCCCTCTTGAAAATTATTATAATGAATCAATAAATCCAGAGAAAGGGAGGTTCGAGTTCTTCCCGGGAAAATGTTGATTTACAGATGGTGGACAATGAGATTTCCCGACTTCTGAAGTATTTTTTAATGACTTTAATTTAAAATACACCTCAGAAGTCGGGAAAGCTCATTTCCCGCCTTCTAGGAATCAAAATTTTCCTGGGGAAGAACCCCCGGACCCTCCTTTCTTTTTGGGATTCATCTCATGGAAAAAATCGTATGTAACTACTCAATTTTTTTAAAATGTATGTATACACACATAAAAGGCCTATTTACTGTAATGAGACAGTTTACCTTATCGTTTTCATGAGGGGGAAAACCTTGAATTTTGAAGAACAAAGTCATTAGACACCTAGCTCAAAAGTCGAGAAAGGTCATTTCCCGCCATCTAGAAATCAAAATTTTCCCGGGGGAGGAATGTTGATCCCACCACCTGGATTTGATTCCAGATCTGCATGATTCATATTCCCATTCATCTTATAAGCAGTGGCGTAACAGGCGGGGGAAGAGGGGCAGGGGGAAGACTGTTCCCCCCCACCCTGACGGTTTTTACCGGGCTGACCAAGCCGTCGTACCGGGCTGGGTAAGAAGAGAAAAGAAAGAGGGGAGAGGGAGGGAAAGAGAAAGAAGGTGAAAGAAAAGGAAAGGAAAAAGGAAAAAGAAAAAGAGAAGAGAAAAATAAAGGCAAGAATAAAAAGGAAGATATAATGAACAGATATCACAATACCCCGGCCTGCAACCCCTAAGTGTCCATATCGCATTTGATCTAAGCCGCCAGGTATTCTCCGCCGTGGCGTAACCACCGGGGGACAAGGGGAAAATATCCATCTGTGGAAAATCTTTCCCCATTGAATGCCCTTTTCACCCGAGAAAGTGCCTGAAAATCTCAAATTTTAAATCGCATATTTTGTTGAGGTAGGCCAATTTCCTCTAAAAATTGCACATTTTAGGGAGTTTTGATCAATTCCGACGAAATTAGAATTTAGAACAAAAAAATTTTTCGCGCGCATTTTTTAATGTTAAAGCTTGTGCTTGCTCTCCTTTGCCTTCTAAGTTATAACACATAGTCCCAAACTCAAGAAAGAAAATTTAAGATAGATCGTTTTACCTAAAAGAAGG